GGTGGACCATCCACAACAATGTTTGCAACGGAGTGGCCTTCCACAGCCTTCTGTAACAATAAGCCTGGACGCTTCCCTGATAGGATGGGGAGCTCACCTAGATCACCATGTCATTCAGGTGATGGGGGGAGGCCAAGCAACACCTCAACCTCCTGGAACTTAGAGCAGTGTGTAATGCTTGCTTACACTTCCTCCTCTTAATTCAGAACAGGACAGTGCAATTACTCATGGACAACCTCACTACTATGTTTTATATAAACCATGGAAGAGGTCTGCTTATGGGAGTGGTGCATCCCACGAAAAATCCCTGTATTTATGGCCTACCTGCTGGTCACAGAAAACATGCTGGCAGACAGCCTCAACAGGCATTTTCCGCAGAATCATGAGTGGGAATTCAACCCTTCAGTGCTGGTTTCCCTATTCAAAAGGTGGGGATTCCCCATTATGCACTTGTTCACAACCCAGTCGAACACCCAGTGTCACAACTATTGCTCCAAGGTGGGGATAAGCTACCACGCTCTAGGGGATGCGTTCAGCATAAAATGGGAAGTGCTGCTGCTTTACGCATTCCCTTTGTTTCCACTCCTCCAGTGGGTAAACCTCAGAATCAAACAGGACAAGGCCAGGGTCATCCTCATAGCCCCTAGTTGGCCCAGACAAAAAAGGTATACATACCGGCTACATATATGCATAATTCCTCCGTGGCGTTTCCTACTGGTGTTGTTCCTGCTCACACAACAGAATGGGCAACTACGTCATCCCAACATACAGACGCTTCATCTCTAGGAGTGTCTTATGGTTGGCTGACTCCTCACAAAACTGCATATCCTACATCTGTACAAGAGGTGTTCATGAACTGCCATAGACCAGAAAGACATACAAACACAAATGGCACCGCTTCACAGTGTGGTGCTCTGAATGCAGCTGTACTCCAATATCCACAAACCTCCCACAGATCCTTCAATTATTATTGAGTCTACAGCATTCTGGTCTATCCCTGAGCTCTGTTAGGGTACACCTGTCTGCAATTGCAGCATTCTATCCTCTCATAGATGGCTATTCCGTCTTTACGCACCTATCAATCAAATGATTTCTCAAGGGCTTACATAATGTGATTTCACCAGTGAGAAATCCAATTCCAGCATGGGACTTAAACTCTAGGGCTGAGAGCGATAGCAGGCAATCCCTTTGCCACCTGTTCACTGCTCCATCTCTCATTGAAGGTTTCCTTCCTCATGGCAATTACCTCAGCATGTATGTTGGGTGAGGTTAGGGGACCTTACGACAGATCCTGCCTTTATGATTTTACATAAAGTGGTTCTCCGCACACACCTGAAGTTTCTCCCAAAAGTACTTACATTGTTCCATTGCAACAAACCCATTTACTCACCTGTCTTCTTTTCTAAACCCCACAAGGACAGCAGGGAGGCAACCTTGCATACCTTAGACATCTGCAGGCAATTGCTTTTTACTTACAACACACACAACCCTTCCACAGATCTTCAAGACTTCATTTCAACTGCAGAGAGATCTCAGGGGCTGTGTAGTTTAAAACCAAGACTATCCAAGTGGATCTCAGGATGCATTCATAGGTGTACAGCATATTCCAACAAGATTCTAGCTCACTCAATAAGAGCAGTGGCAGTATCTACAGACTTCCTCTGGGGCATACGAACAGAGGAAATCTGCAGAGCTGCCACCTGCACTTCAGCACATACATTGACCAACCATTATGCCACCCAGACCTATTCCGCTTCTGATACTCAGTTTGTCCAAACAATACTCTTGGTTACCGTTCAGGTCTCCCGAAGTTCCCACCACCAAGCACGACTACTGCTTTCTAATCACCTAGGGTGGAGTACCCACAGGACACTACTCAAGAAGGGAAGTTACTCACCTGGTGCTGTAACTGTAGTTCTTCGAGATGGTTGTCCCTATGGGTGCTCCACCACTTGCCCCTCTTCTCCTCTGCTTCGGAATCCTCCATGTCTGGGGCAGAGAAGGAACTTGAAGGGATGGTTGGCTGTGCAGCTCACTGTGGGCTCTGCTACCTAAAATCTCTGATTAGAAGCACAACGATGCTCAGACACCTGAGGTGAGCACCCATAGGGATAACCATCTCAAAGAACTTGGTTTACTGCACCAGGTGAGTAACCTTCCCTTCCACCCTTCAGACTGTTTAGTTCTTTTTCATCTTTCAGTTAACTGCTTTTATTATCACAATAAATTTAGTCAGTAGTGCTAGCGTACTTCACATCTTAATGATTTACCTTCCATTTTCAATTTTCCTTAAAGATAAAATATTTCTTTATCCTTACCCAAGAATTATAATGGAAGTAACTTCTGATTTCCATGTCAATGAGTCCGCCACATTCATGTAAGTGCAAGTAAAAGATATGTTGTTTGGATGCTAATCTTTCTGTTTAGATGGACCAAGTATTTTAGATCTTTGTGTAAACTGTTTATACAGAAATCTTTTTTCTGTATAAACATCTAGATGGATCATGCTATACATAATAGACACTTATAAAAACATTTCTTGATCTGTCCCTGCTAAGATCACATTCCATTAGGGTGATGGCTGATTTTATAGCACGTTTAAAGCCTTTCCCACTAATTGAAATTTTGAAAGAGACCACGTAGAATTCAATACCTGTGTTTAACAATCATTATGCATTAGATATCTCAATTAGATTGGACACCTAGTTTGATAGATCAACTGCAATCCTAATTTTATAACTACTCCGTACCTGCTATCCGTATTTGTGTACATGCAGCTACTAGACTATCCTGAAAGGGGGAATATGTGGAGGGCACTCAAATAAGAAATGAAGGCTACACACTTGTAACTAAAGTTCTTTGAGATGGGCCCTGCATATTCAAACTTATTGCCCTTATCCATTTTCTGTGGAGTCCTTACAACTCATGGTTCTGCATTAGTGGTAGAAGAAATTGAGGTGGCAACCATTGCTGCTCCACCTTTTGTTAACCTTTCCTCAAGAGTGTGACTATGAATAGTCCATCTCAAAGAACCTTGGTGACAGGTACTCTTGGTTTACCTGTACAATAAGTGAAGGTTTTTTGGATGAGTTGTCCATATGTGTATTCCATGAGCACCTCTCTTTCACCTCTGCTTTAGATTCTCTTTGTGTGCTATGGGAGTTGGACTAGATAAAGAATTGGAGTGGTAGATGGTAGTTCCACTGCCCTTTATACCCTTAGTACGGAGCACAAGGATAGTCAGTGTGTGTATGGACTGAAGAGATACAACGAGCAAATAATCATTGATCTTGAGTACATGGGCCACATGTACACCTAAAATGGAATGTGGAATATGTATGGATATCTTGTCACAAAGACTTCCTTTTAAGTTGTAATTACATCAGCAAGATGATTTGGAGAAATTCAAACACATCTGATCAACCAGCCATATATTAAAGTCTTTTATGCAGACAAGGTGTATCTGTGAATACATCAAAGTTCCTTCCTTAAAATTGTCTCAAATTTTCACCTGAATAAGCCTATTCATTTAGTTATAGTTTTCTGAAATGTCATCCTTCCAAAGGATATATATATATATAAAAGCTTTGTTCTGACTGTTGGATTCCATGAGCTCATGTACCTCAAGAATCTTCTTGGAAGTATGAACACTTCCTATTTTAGATGTTCCCACAGGTAACATATTTCTTGATGCATGAATAGGGATGTAAGAGACTAGTCGACTCATTAGAGATGTAAAAGAGTAGTCAAGTCAACTACTCGCGTTTGCCCCAACTCCCACCTTGATGCCTCTATATCAGAGGCAGCAAGGTGGGGGGAGCAGGAGCTAGTGCTGGAGGGAGCCAGCTTGAAAGCCAGTTCCCCGCAGCACTGTCTCTGCAGGGGCAGGGGAGGTAGAGACACAGCGGAAACGGTGCAAGTGGGGATTGAAGCAGTCTCCACTTGTACCACTTCTGCTTTGAATCTACTTTTGAAATGTGCAAGAGCCCTGCGAAGGCTCTTGTACATTTCAAAGGTTCAGGTGCCGCAGGGAATGCGGGGAGTCCTTGCTGGCCTGGTGCTCCCTGCTAGGATTCTGCTTTTCAAATGTGGCTCTTGTACATTTCAAAGGCTCAGGCGCTGCAGGGAGCATGGGGCCAGCGGGAGAGTCCCCTGCTGGCCCGGGGCTCGCTTTGGCTTTTGAAATGTATAAGAGCCCCACTGGGGCTAGCTTCCTGCAGGGCTTCCACTTTTGAACTGTAGCAAGAGCCCAACAAGGCAAAGGTACTCTTATAGACTAATTGAATAGTCGATGGAAATCCCAAAAACTATTCAATTAGTTAATCTAAATTTAACATCCCTATGCATGAATATTCTATTTAGATAGGTTTCTTCTGATCAACTGTAAAAAATAGTTGAACCAGGACACATTCCATGACACAAGCTGATATTCTAGTTCAAAGGATTCATGTGGTAGTTGAGAGAGAATCAGAAATGTTCCATAAAATACATTGAGCAATTTTATTATAATTCTAAAACATGTATAAACATGCCACGCTGTGATATATATACACACACACACACACACACACACACACAGACGAAGATAAATGTAATAGATGTGACAATATGATTAAGTAATACTGTCCTATAGTTGGTAATTTTTAAAATCTTTTAGTAATCGTATTTTAAGATTTCTTCCAATTATCCTCTGAGATTACCAGAACTTGAAATTGTTTCCAGATGTCTGGGTCAGAAATGACACCTATATTTGTAACTTCTAATTAAGATATCAGAATGAATGTCATTCTGCTTCTAAGATTAGAATAGAATCTGCAACCTGCCATTTAGCAATGCAAGTTGCATTAGAGGATATATTTTGCTGAGTTAAGAGCCATTAGTATATGGAAAATCATCTCTAGGGATGTGAACAGTATTAATTTTGTGAAATACCTATGTTACTTGACCAAGAGAGATTTTAAAGACAATTCAGACATTGAATATTTTTTCCTTTTTTGCAGTTGCCGCAATAGTATTATTCTATACAGCAGTAAACCCACATAATATACCTCTAACTGAAGTAATTGGGCCAATATGGCTAATGTTGCTGCTTGGAACTGTGCATTGCCAGATTGTTTCAACACGAACTCTTAAACCATCACTTAGCACAGGGGGTAAAAGAAGAAGGTACGGTGTATATTAAAATGTTTTTGTTGGGTAGGATCATGAGTATGTGAAATTTTATTGTGGAATATATAATTTTTGAACCGTTTTGCCAGGTTTGGTCGATAATACCATATAATTTTATGCATTGTCCTGTAAGAAATTTGAGCACTGTTAATATTTTTACTAATTTAAAAAAGTGTCTGTTAAAAATGTTAGTCTTGTGATTTCACCTTTATATAGCTAAATATTGATAAAATGACTTGTGTAAATATGAATTTAAACATATATTATTCAGTACTCAATACTGATTTAAAAAAAATCTTCCTGTTGAAGGCACAAATTAAAAAAAAAGTGGGCCCCATCCTGCCAGTGAATAGGGTTTGCTACTATGAGTAATCCTGTTAAAATTGGTGGGACTATTCACAACAGTAAATTTTTGTAGGTTTGAGACTTTAGTGTTTAGTGGAATTACATATTTGTATAGAAAAAATTATATAATGAAAACGGACAGTTCTAATGTGCTAAATATTTTAAAATATTTATTAAAGCAAAATACATTACTAAATTAAAACACTTTCAAAAGTCTCTTGTTTTGCATGTTTACAAAAATTGTTGAACACATTATAGAACTAGTGGATTACATTTATAAAGATGCCTTCCAATTTTAATCTCTTCTGATGAAGGAAATTAAGGAAAGCAGCACATTTGGAAGTACATAGGGAAGGAGATGGCTCTAGTACCACAGATAACACACAGGAGGGAACAGTGCAGAGCTTCGGTACAAGCACCCCTTACAGTATTGGCGCTGTCTTCAGAGATATCTGGCATGCTGCTTTCTTTTTATCAGGGTTTGTATTTATTTAAGGCTATGTGTGTCTTAGATATGCAGTATCCCTTTTCCTAAAAAGTAAAATTTGATCCGTCTTTCTATCATTTTTTCCCCTATTTTTCTAACATACTCTGAATTGTTTGAGTGTGTGGACATTGTTTTCTTTTTGGCAAATTCTAATGAAATAACCCATGTGAAATACAGAATTACTGGCTTAATTTTGCAGATGTGTGACAATGTTTTAGGGAGAGGTGATAGGTACGCGTTACCAAAGATAACACACGTCAGTTTCTATTTTTAAATCCTGTCAGAGAATACCTTATTGATGGCTGTGCCTTATTACCATTGTGGCAAAATGTTAATGGAATACTGTGGCATGATCCAATTCAAATGTCTTCATTCTATACAAGCAAGACAATTAATAAACAAAAAAGACTCACATACTGATAATTTTTGTTGTCCAGCAAGGACCATAGTACAATTACGGTAATGAACTTCAGCTTGCATATTTCTCCTTTTTAAAAATCAAGGCTTTATATGACTGGAGGAAAAGTATAGTTATTGTTCCCTTCAGTACCCTTTTCCTTTGCAAAAAGTATATCAATCCAAACTATGGTTTTCAGAAAATCTTATGAAAAAACACTTAATAGCTCTCTAGAATCAAAATCCTAGTGCACTGTGTATCTGCATTAAAAATTGGGAAGCATTTAGAAACAGGACAGATGCAATGCAAGTTGGTTTAAAATTGAGAAGAGGGATACTGCAATTTCCTACATGTATGTTTTATCGTACAAGCCTCATCTTAATATTAGTACACTAACATCTGTCATATTTGTGATTATGTGCTCTTAAATTCTGATAAGGTTTATTCTGTGTTCTAAAACTAATTACTGTGAGCATCATACTAAGCTGCAGGTTTTTAGATATTTTAAAGCACTGATAATTCTATCCCATTTTACTTTTCTATAAATGTAATTTCCAGTTAAGCAGGACTGTCTCTCATTTTAGAGCTTACTTACATAATGTAATCAAATCTCAGCATTATAAGCAAAGAACTTAAAATACCACACCCCTAAAAGGCTCCCCGACAGGGCAGTTGAGGAAATTCCAAACTCAAGTCTAACCTGTGTCTCCTGTGACACATGGCATAGCACTATTACCAGGTCATAAGAAAGACTCAAGTTGTTGTCTTTGTCTACACTATGAGCTAGAGGTACATGAGTCCCTTGGTTGTGGATCCATTAGTATGAGTATAAATAGCATAGCTGAAACAAACAGGACTGTGTAGCACTTTAAAGACTAACAAGATGGTTTAATAGGTGATGAGCTTTCGTGGGCCAGACCCACTTCCTCAGATCAAATAGTGGAAGAAAATTGTCACAACCATATATACCAAAGGATACAATTAACAAAAATGAACATACTGTATATGAAATCAGATTTGATTTGTCCTTTTCATATATGTTCATTTTTGTTAATTGTATCCTTTGGTATATATGGTTGTGACAATTTTCTTCCACTATTTGATCTGAGGAAGTGGGTCTGGCCCACGAAAGCTCATCACCTATTAAACCATCTTGTTAGTCTTTAAAGTGCTGATTTTTGTTTCAGCTGCACCAGACTAACATGGCTGCATTTCTACCACTAATAGCATAGCTGTGTTTGTAAGGACAGCAGTAGCAGAGGTATGGCTGAGCTCTGCTGAGTGCATGCTCAATGGTTTCAGGTGTGTTTGTACTCAGTTTAGCTTAATTCACTAAGTGGAATAAACGAAGTCATATTGAGGTCACTTAAATGCTGAATAACCATGTCCACACAATATCAGTTACAATTTGTAGGACATTTAGTACTTTATTTCTTGTGCTGGATGAAGATCATCTATTAAATTTTGACCCAGTCTTGAATAACATTTTGGGGACAGAAACTAGGGATGTAAGCGAGTAGTTGACTACCCGATAAGGTGAGGCATATTGGGTAGTCAAGTGTGCTACTTGAATACTTGCTCCCCCCCCCCTCCGCCCCGCCCTTGCAGTCTCTGCAGCAGAGGGAGCAAGGAGGGGGAAGCAGAGCTGGTGTTGGGGGGAGCCAGCTTAAAAGCAGCCCCTGTCCACGGTGGCCTGGACTAGCAATGGCTAGAGGCTGTTCTGGCAGCAGCCCCTGTCTGTTGGGGGTCCCAGCTCCCCACTGGGACCTGCCATCGACAGGGGCTGCTGGACCTGATGCAAGCTGAGACTGAGTGATCCTGACTCAATCCTAGCTTGTGCCGGGGCCAGGAGCTATGTGACTCTGCAGTTTAAATGTGTGTAAACTGTGACTCTGCAGTTTAAATGTAGCAGGAGCTGGGCAGCCTGCATGCCCAGCTTTTACTGCCTTTAAACTGTAGATCCGCAAGAGGCGTAGCTCCTAGATTTGGTGCAAGCTCAGCCTAGGGAAGACTTCCCTTATTGACTAATTGTGTAATCAATTAAAATTTTATCGACTACACAATTAGTGGATTACCTACCTCTTAACATCCTTAAAGGAAACCCTGTACAAACTATAATTTATTATATTTTGATATGATCTAGAAATCGCAGCCAGTTTGGGGCCCTGTTGAACAAGCTCTGTATACACATAATAAATAAGTTGGTATCACAACTGTATTTCGTATATCCATTCAATAAGTCATGAAATAGCAGAGTTTATATCTTGGCATTTTTTATCTCTGTGTGCTGTCTTCAAGAGTTGGATTTTGTTTTCGTATTCCATTACTACTTATTTCACTTAATACTTTTGATGCTCTCTTCCAGAAGACATTTAATGAGCTTTGTGTCTTTATTAATGTACTATACACAGAAAAAAAGCTCCAAAGAATTGAATTTCCTGAACATTATCTAATGCTTAATTATAACAAATTGTTTGTGGTAGACTTGATCAGAATTGAGCACTTAATTGTTTGGTATTATACGAGTTTTTACTGTGCATCTGATGAGATTTACATTTCTTTTCAAACGTAGCATATGAAGAAGAAAAGTTACCATAAATACTGTTTTAGTTAATTAAAATGAGCTTCTTCTAGCTCCCTCTTATTAAGACTATTTTGTCACTGTTGCTACTTTATTTTATTTATCCCCTAATTGTTGGAAATTGGGATATTGTGAAGCTCATTCTCTTGCAAACAAGACCAGCTAGCACCAGATAATTGATTATTCATAGGCTTAATTATCCATTTTCCATTAACATAAATTATAGGTTTCATATGCACCTTCCTTTCCATCTCCTTAGCCTACTCTTCATCTGTTAAGTAAATTATTTGAACACTGTAGAAATGCACTAAATCAAAATGTTAATTTATCTTTTTGGGGTAGTTTGACATGTTTTTCTAAAGTCTCAACAGTGTGTTCGACTGGACTTCATCAGGCTAATCTGTATTTAGAAACATTAAAATGAATCTAAAATAAATGAAGCTAAAGGATTGGCAATATGAAAAAAGCAGAATTCCTACAAGTGTGTCTTCACGTTTTTAAAGGTGTGGACAATTTTGCCATCAGTTTTTTTTTTCTTTAAACTTTTAGTAAGGTTATCTTTTAGAAGTATTCATATATTCTACTTCAGAAGCAATAATTTTCACATACCTGTTCTCCCATATTACCTAGTAGTAACCATGAATATCAGCTTTATGGTTCTGTCAGACAGTAAGTAGGCAGCAAGTTCTGTCATTCACCTGAATAATTTTAATTTTCAGTTCTTTTTCATTTGTCTGCTTTATATTAAACCACTTACCCATGCAGTCCTTCTCGTATTTCCTTAAGAGAAAAAAATGCGAAGGCAACACAAATAAAGACCCTGCTTTGTCCACCCCCAGTCCCACAAATTATTCCAGCTTTGTCTTTGTTTGCCCAGTTCTTCACAGCCGTCTCTATTCTGTCCTCTACACATCACACTATATATGGAATACCTTTCTATGAGCTTTTGTGGAAGTGATTTCCCTTTATTTAAATCCATCCTGTGAGATCAATTCATAGACAACACAACAAAATGGCTAGCTAACTCAGTTGCATATCTGTTTAATTTATCTCATGAATAAAATTGTTCTTCAAATGTGAAGAGAGGGACATAAAAACACTGGACTTAAAATTGGGAATTAATGAAGGAGAAATAAGGTCCAAAGGTAATTATGATTTAGGGTAATTTAGTATTTTTTACTAAAATAAAATATATCCTTCCCCTTAAAACAAAAATGTGTATCAATACCCCATTATTTTGTGTACGTATTTCTTCGCTTTTCCCCCCTCTCTTCATCGCCGGTGTCTTTTTAGATTGTACATCTGTTGGAGTAGGGACTTTGTTCATCTGTAGTGAGGACTAAAATAGGCAATCCCCAGATTATAATCTGTGCTGCTAATATTGTGTGTGTGTGTGGGGGGGGGAGTAGAGTGTGTGTGTGTGTGGGGGGGGGGGTTAGACCATGCAACCATGCAAAAACAGAATAGACCTTCAAAACTCATCAAAATATTACAGCATGATTCCTCTTCTAGTGCTGGGGGGAACTTCTGGGGAATATCCCTTGAGGAAAAAATCTCCTGTGGGGAAAAAACTCTTCTGCGGAATGCCTTTCTTGGAAAAAACCCTGCAGAGCAAACTCTGCTTGAGCTCCTAAACTGAAGTCTTATAATTGCAAACAGAGCCCCAAACAGACACACATGAACTAAATCTTTCTATTTGTCCATCCCAGTTAGACTCTGATAGATCCCTAGATAAAATTTACTTACTTACTACTCTAATTCATTTGGTCATAAGTCTCTATTCTGCTCAGCCCCTAAAATGCTAGGGATACTTCTGCACTTCAAAGAAGAGGAAAGGTCTTAGAGACAATGAAGGCATGAAAAATTATAAAGAAGAGCATGATATTCCCCGGTCACAGCTATATCTCTTGCTATAGCTGTGCAAGTTCCATAGATAACATTTTTTCATGGAGTTCTGAGAGGCTATTCAAGAATATAATTAGGGGCCTAGTGTTTTTGGTGATCCTGACACCTA